TTTTTTTTTTTTTGGTTTAAATCAAAACAAAGCTCACGTAGCCTTCTCGTCGTCACGTCGTCATAGTTTTTGTTTAACTGTATGATCTTTTTATTGTTGTAGTAGTAGTGAGTAGTAGTTAGTGCATATAAATAAAAGGAATATGTTTGGTCTTGCAGTGATAGCTAAGGCATAGAAATTATGCTTGCATCGCAAGAAAATAATATGTTTTTAAAACGACGAAATAAATATATAAATAAATAACTAATAAAAAGAAAACAAAAAACGCATAAAACTTACATAGGCGAAAACAACTGTTGTTTAAGAAATTAGCCGAATATCGATACCTAAAGTCGAAAGTTGAGCATCATTGACGTTCTATCTTATTTTCGTGAGCACTCTACACAAAACGAATGTGTATTTCTATATGCATTTGGCAAATCTTATTTTTTTTTCATGCATGCATGAGTGCATGCATAGTACTTTTTGTATGTTTAGTGTTTTATATGCATATGTTTTCTTTTTGCTTTTGGTGCGTGTGTATTTATGTGCGTGTGTGGGTGTGTGTGTGTGTGTGTGTGCATTTCAATAAAGAAACACTGTCGGAAAGAAATGATTGTTATTTTTATTTAAATTTTTCTTTTTTTTGTTTTCTTGCTTTTGTTGCTATTTTTATTTTAATTGCTTTTTTTTATTTTTTATTTTTTTTTTTTTATTTGTTTAAAGTTAAACACAATAAATTTTACTTTTGTTGTTGGCCTCGTTATTTTATTTTTATTTCTATTGGCCCCATACCACCTATAAATCGTTTATAAACAAACTTTTTTACTCCCAGTGCATTAAAATATACTTTTATGCTTACCTTCAATGAGAATGAAAGGAAAATAATTTTTATTATTCTATTTGTAACTTAAAAGCAAGTCGGCGAGCGATGACATTTAAGCTACACACTACGCTCGATAGCGAATTTAATATTAGAGTTAGAGATCAATTGAATGAATGAATGAACGAATGAGTGATTTTCGAAATTCTGAAGACTATACTTTTTAGGTTATGTCACGATTATCAGATATAAGATTTTTGCAAAATTACAAAAATGCATCTAAATCTTAAGATATATAGCAGCATGCTCTCAATTGAGGTGACCAGAGTTTTTGTTTGCTTTTCGATAGGAAAGGTGGGGAACTTTTTTTTTGGGCGACTGACAAACTGAAGCAACTTTTTTTCAAATTTCGAAATATTAACAAGCCCTCGTTGTTTCCTTATGGTTCTAACGCTTTCGCAGCAGGAAACTCTGAAGGGAAACCCTTCTAATAAAAACTTAACGTAAAAAAAAAAAATTGACGCGGAATAACTTTCAAATTAATTCTGCAAACGTGCTAATAAGCTTGAAACAATTCTGAAGCAGAATAAAAATTTTGAAAAAACCGCCGTATTTAAAATTGTAAATAAGATAATCATTATGTTTGTATTATTTTAGTGAGTTTTGCAAGAAAAGAAAAAGGATAAAATTTGATGCGTATTGGAAGCTTGTCCCTAACCTTATGACTGCAAGCAAGAGAAAGTTTCACTTTTCCTTACAATCGCAATATATTCGCTTGTGAAATGAAGAAAAGAACATTTCACGCCTACTACGATTATTCTCGTCACCTTTACATAACAGCCCCAATGAGTGTTAATCGCTCCGTGTTAATACAATCAAATGTAATAAAAAGCTATAATTTTCAATTGAAATGTTGAGTAATCAAGATTCGCGTCAAGGCAAATAAACAACATTAGCACTATAGCTTTTCCTTTCCTTACTTAGTCTATATATATATGCGTGCGTGTGAATGCGCATGTTTTTATTTTCCAATTTTTTTTTTTTTTTCATTTATTTTTTTTTTGCTTTTGGTCACTCTCAAGCGATTCATCATCTACATACATATAAATAAATATGTAAACTGTACACTTTATTGAAAATATTTTGCCTCTGAAAACTTTTAAATTTTTGGCGCGAAATTCTTTTTATTCATACCATTAAGTTGTATTTTGATTTCTTTGGTGATGAAAAAAAAAAAAAAAAAAAAATTATATAATAATAAATTGTGAGAGAGTGAATATGTATATATATATATATATATATATATGTGTGTGTGGGTAGTTACTTGAAGAGTATGGAAGCATTTAAAATTTATGCATTTTTTGAAGGTCGATCATCGTCTTATCAGCGTCATCATCATCGTTATTATTGTTATTATTATTTTTATACATTGTATGTGTTGCGTTTTTCTTATATATGTTTGCATGTATGTATATTATTATGTACATATATAAACATTATTATTTGTTTATTGGCTTTGTAAAGTTGTGTTGATTTTATACATTTTTCGCGGTTTCATGTGTTCCTTAATTGCTTTTGTTTTGTTTTGTTTTTTTTTTTTTTTTTTTTTTTTAATGACAATAGTGTACGAACTTGTCTTTATCATTGTAGCAGTTTTTTTTTTTTTATTTCTTTTTTATTTGTTCAATTTAATCGGTATACATATATTAACGTGTGTTATTTTTATTAATTTAAACAAATTGATTGCATTTAATAGCTACTGAAAGATTTTTTTTTTTTTGCTTTTTTTTTCTTTAGGCTAATATTGTCGATGTACAGTCTTGTCGCATTAAGATCAAGTGCTTTAGTCGTCGTAAAAATTAGTAGTTTATGAATCGAAGAATAATGAAGGTTGCCTTCCGAGTCCCGAGAAGTATTACCCGGATTATTAGGTTATTAACATCAAACACTATTCTGCTTGCACTCGTTTCTTCTCTTTGCAATTTATGTGTAGCCCCTCAAGAGAGCATTTACATATTTTTACACAGGTAACAGTGTTCGTAAAGTGTAACGAGTCTTCTTTCTGAAAACGTTTAGGGCCAATGGGCTAAGATAGATGGAAAAAGAGGACTTGCGATCGCTTTAAGCACTTGTGTTGCCTCTGCCTCGTATATTTATTATGTCTGTATTTCCTAGTGATATGTACTTGTGTTTAGTTTAGAATGTTAAAATGTTAACTAAGAAATTAAAAACCACAGCTGTTTTCGTACGTATCACCGTAGGATAAGAGGTGTATTAGTTTTGTCAAACCGTTTGCAAAGCCCAGAAGAAAGCATCGGAGACCTCCCAAATATATATATATATGTATATATTATTGATAAGCATCGAGTTTAAAATCTATTTAAGCATGTCCGTCGGTCTGTCCGTTTTGGTAATGTCTGTTGTAAACATTCTCCTGGCCGCAAAAACGAAGTTAGCGACTTCAAGTTTAGCACAAACATGGGAATTCTTGTGCCCAGATTGGTATTGAATTTAGAGCCAAATCGGTCAAAGAACATGCCCACAGAATATGCAGATTTTGAAAACTCCTACACATGACAGATAAGTGTACAAAAATTTGAACACATATTCTATGGGCGGTGATGCGGCACCTGTATAAAGATTGACCACGTCTATCCAATATTATAGTGTATCAAAACTGAATTTTTTTTTCAAGACCTTCATAAGGCAAAGAAACAAGCTGCAAAAATCCCATAAAGGCCAGTTTCAAATTTGGCATGCACTTGAACATGTCTATCCGTCTGTCTGCGCAAACGTGCAGCGTTTGTGGTAAATATGCTGCCGTTAACGAAAATGAGGAATTTTGAAGTGACAGGCAGGCCCACAGCTCCCACACGATACACCTACGTTATAAAAAAATTTTTATTTTAAAAATAGAAAAAATTAGCCACGCCCACTCCATTTTAGAAAGCATGAAAATTCAGTTCTTTTACTTTTTTTCGGTTTTTTTCGGGTAACGGTGATGGGTATAAAAGATTTCGTCACGACCGAATATAATCTTCTTACTTGTTACGATTACTACCGATATTGATCGGAGGTAAATTCAAACAGCAATTTGCTTGCAACAAAATGCAAATGACACTGCAACAACAATTCCGAGATCTTTTAGTTTTAAAAATTCGAAGAAAATTTCCAAATTTTAATAGAAAAGATTCGGTCAGGACCGAATACAATTTTCTTGCTTGTTGTTATTTTTTTTGATTTCTGTGTTTGCCTTTTACAATCGAATTTACTGACCTTTGCTGTAGAGTAATTCTTCTAAATTACTTGGAAACTTTAAAATATCAACAAAATATATTCGAAATTATTACAAAAAAAAAAAAAAAAAAAAAAAAAATAATAATAATAATAGAAAGCTTTACGACACTTGGAATGTAAGATAATGAAAGAAAGCCAGACTGCTTGAGACTTTTTTTTCTTTTTGTTTTTGAAGTGCAGGCGGTGATAAACACAATCATGCCTCTGTCAGTTAGTCATATCATCTGTTATCTGCTGTGTGCTGTCTTGCTAGGAGGGAATTTGTTTTTTTATTTTTTTTATTTTTTTTTTTATTTGTGTTGATAAATATGTTTTTGTCTATTTTGTGCAGAAAGTTTATTAAATTTCGTGTTCAACACACAACGCACAGCAGCCAGCATAGAGAGAATATACAAATACATATGTAAACTTGATTAGCATCAATAATGGAATGGATTTGTAATGCGTTTGCTTGCACTAAGCGTGGTACACTAATTTTGTCGAATTATTCCATTGCATTTACCATATTAAGTAATTAATTTTGACCTAAAAAGTAACCAGATGGCTTTCGTATGCATATAGAAATAATTCGTAAAAAAAATATATCGGACTTAGGGAAAAAGTAAGTAAGTAATGCTTCCTGACTGACTGCCTCTACATAGATGATACATCATAGGTGGTAGCGTTTTTATGCAAAGCATTTTGTTTTGCTTTCCCGTATGATGGACACTTGCACACCATTTCTTTCTACCTTTTCATGCCTTTTGCTAACGGTGGGCTCTGTGTTTGCTCTCAAGGAATTTTAATGTGATTTCATTGAAATTACGATTTTTTGATGATTTCATTTTATATAACGAAATCGTGATATTTGACTCGATCTCATGTGAAGCTAAGGAAATTAATTGTTCGTATCAATCATAACTTCAGCTTAAGCACGCACACTCTTGACTATCTTTCATCGTCTATCCATCCATCCATCCATCTATTGAAATCACACTGACAATCTCGAAATCATTAAATTTGTAATATTGTTCATCGCATTATTTTATTATTGCATTGTTATCATTAGATTTACTTTATTTTAACCCTATTACTCTTGGATTATCTTATGTTTATTTTCTGTTTATGTGCATGTGAATGGCGATGTGTGCATGTTATGATTTAAGTATGTCAAACTCAAGCTTCTATGTCATATTGCGTCGATGTATGGTATACGCTATGCATGGCTGTTACGTTATGCTTACACAATAGTTTAAGAAAAACAAAAAAAAAAAAAAAAAATAGAAAGGAAAAAAAATTCAAAACCCAAAATTTTGATGGATTTCATAAATTTCGGTTAAACTGTATGACTGACTATATAAACTCTTGCTTTCTTTTTTTTTTTTTTGCTTTTTTTTTTAAATTGTGTTTTCCTTCTCAACATTTTCTCTAATACATATTAAGTAAATTTGTGTATGTGTATGTATGGTTCGACCGGGTATTAATGTAAAAGTGCCGCCATATACTAAAGACTATGTGTCTCTCTTGTAAGAAAAATGGAAAATTTAAATTAACTTTTGCCCTATCCCTATATGGTTTTGTTCCGTTTTTATTTAAGTTCTATGTAGGTGATGGTGCGCTTATTATTATATCTGTTTTTATTTACTGTATGTAGAAAAGTAAAGACTATTTATTTATTTTTATTTTGATGTCAGTGTTTTAAGAAATTCATAAAACAAATACAGATACCACACATAACACTATGTATACATATGCGTTTTGTAAGCTAAAGATAAAAACCAGTAGTAGAGAGTTTTGTGTTGTTGTTTACCTTTCGAAATCGAAAAAACTGTGAAGAAGAAGAAGAAGAAGAAGAATAAAAAAAAAAATAAAAAAAAAAAATTAGTATATACACAGAATGTCTAGAAGGGAAGAAATAATTATATTAAGTATTAGTACATGATGGTAAAAACGTGAGCTGACTCTCTTGTATTAAATTAAAAAACAAAACAAAAACATATAAAAAAATTTTGCTAACGAATCCAAAGCCAACGAATTAACGTCCGGCAATAAGAGAATATTTAATATTTATTCGATTATATTGCAACAGCAATCAACAACCTAAATAAAATGTTAAACTTAAGTTTAAGTTGTTTATGATAATAAGTTTTGTTTTTGAAAGTTTTGCTTTCAGTATTTCTTTAAGAAAAGTAAAGAAACGCACAGGCATCGCTCGCAATGTATTTGCAACAACTCTCATATGGGTAAGACTTAGGGGTTTCTTTGTTTGCTGTCAACTTCACACACACACACACACACATTCACTTTCTTTTTCTCTTTCTTCTTCTTCTTCTCTTTCTCTGCCTCTCTATATGCTGTATAAGTGTTTTCTTTTCTCTTAATCTCTTTGCGGGTAACTACTAACTCATGTTCGATTTTGTTATGATCTAAATTCTATAGTCTAATTAGTTTTGAAGGTCGTCAATGTGAGATTAATGAATTTTATGGTATTTGCATGTGATGAAGCGTAACAATAACGATAAAGAGACATTTCAATGACCTCTTTTGCTCTCTCCTATTAAACTAAATAATATAATGGAAATTATATACAATTATTTTTTTTTTTTTTTTTTTTTTTTTTTAATAGGGAATAAAAACTCAAGCAGCTCTTATCGTGCTTTATTTTTTGCCTATTTGTAGGCAACACTTGAGTTTTATTGCAGTTCAAATTGTACTCTATATATGTATATATATATATATGTTTTTTTATTTAAAAAAAATTAAATATATGTATTTTTTTTTTCTTTTTTCTTTTCAGAATGTTTTAATTTACGTAAAAACAAACAATTTATTGCTGCTGGCAGCGGTGGTGTTGTTGGTAAACTAATAAAAACAGCAGCTAAATACGAAGTATTAAAATTACCACAAGAGGAGATAACAACGGCAACTGTGACAGCGACAACGACAACAACGGCAACAACAACAGCAACGGGAACAGCAACGGCAACGGGAACGGGAACATCGTGTCAATTGCACTCGACAGACTTATCGGTAAATAATAAAAAGTGTCTTGAAGGGAGAGAAGACAACACCGACAACAGCAACAACAAACATGTTAATAATAATTTGCAAACTGACAACACTAAAAGCAACACAATAGACACTAACAATGATGATAATAATAATGATAATGATAACGATGATGGTGGTGATGATAATGATGATGATGATAATAATGATGATGATGATGATGATGATGATGATATTGATACATTAACAGCGACAGGAGGAACGACAATCATGTTGCAAGTTTCAGTGTCAGCACAAAAGGCGTCACGCAATATGACCTCCATCTCAACAGCTAATGCGCCACATACGCATCATGCGTAAAACTACTAAATAACAGAATAAGAAACGCGTACAAACAACAATAATAATAGCGACAACAAGAATACCAATACCAACCAACAACAATAATAACTAACAACTACAGCAACAACGACAACAAGGCAATGAATGATAAACCAAAAAGGCATAATATTACTTGAGTGGGTCTTTTTAGTATTTTTGGATTTTGTCACATAGAATGTCTGACTTGTTATAAAAATAGCTCACCCAACGTACATAAAAACACACACACACACACTCGTCATACAAAAAATAATTATTGTATGGAGAAAAAAAAAAAAGTAAAATGAAAAAAGTCGTCTGAAAACGCAAATAGAACAGAAAGAAAGAACACAATCAATAAAAACATTTATTATTATTATTATTATTATTATTATTATTATCTTTCACACTCCCGGGCAGAAGCTCAGTCAATTTTTGTTTTTGTTGTTAATGGATGCAAAAGTAATAACAACGATAACAAGAAGAAGAAGAACAACAACAACAAACTATAACAAATGATGTATAAGATTATTAAACAACATATATATATATATATATAAAACAAAAAAAAAAAAAAAAAAAAAAATGAAAAATAATTTAAAAAATTTAAAAAGAGATTGAAACAATTCAAATTTAAACATTTGAAGTCGACTTTCAAATGATCTCACTTATATTCAAAACAAAAAAACAAACAACCAATACTACTATATATATATAAAAATGCTTTTTTTAATTTAAAAAACTTAAATTATGTTTAAATACAATCAACGACAACAAAACAACACAAGAAAAATCCTTAATTATTGTAATTTTATCCAAAAATGGAAAACAACACATACACACAAAAAAAAAAAAAAAAGAAAGAAGAGAATTTTATTGTTTTTTGATCTTCATCCATCTCTCGTCCTACTTTCTTATTCTCCTTCCTTTTGTATATTTATTCTTTTCTTTTTCCTATATATATTTTTTTTCTTTTGTATTTTTAAAGCGTTTCTCTTTTTTTTTTTTATTTTTAAGATTATATTTGCAATTGTTTATTTTTTTAACTTTTTTTTTACTCAGCAGTTTTGAATAACAATAATCATTGTGTTTTATTTAACGAAAACAAAAAAAAAAAGAGGAAATATTTTTATAATGTTTTTTTAATTGCACTACGAAGAGAACTTTTCAAAATGTTGTAATGTAAATTTACATTAATTTTATTTAGTATTTGTATTTAACCCATATCATGAAACTATAAGAAAAAAAAAAGATATATATATATATATATTTAAAGAAAATATTTCCAAAAAATTATTGTCCAAATTGTAAATTGAGTTTTTTTTTTTTTTAGTTTATAATTAAATAATTTTTTTTTTTATATTCAATTATGAAAAAAAAGGCCCAACTTTAAATTATTGCAAAAATTTAAGAAAATTTAAAATAATTTTTTAAGGAAAAAATAAATTAATTAAAATCTTTTATAAAAAAAACTCTCTCATTTTTTTCTTTTCATAACTTTTAACTATTGCAGCACAAATAGCAGCATGATAGGAACAGCGTAGGAATTTTTCTTGTTAATTAATAAGGCCGGAAGGTATTTGATGTAAGGCTATAGTCCCGTTACGTCCTTAAAAATCTTAATTAAGTGCTGTTAATATTAAAGACTTGGTTATAGAAGGTTGGAGGTAGAGGACTCTTTGTCTTTTACTTACTACGAAACACATAGGCGAAAGGCACTTGGAGGACAAGTTGGTTTTGCGATCTAAGTCTAATGATTTATCTTAACTTTCCACAGGACTTCTTTTCGTGATTTGATAGTGCTCGGGACGACACGACAAACAGGGCAGTGACCACTCGTTTCCTTCTTTGACTTTCCATATTCGGATTAGATTTTGTGCTTTTGTCCCTTTGAATTTTAATCTCAGTCTAAAACAATGAAAACCTCGGCGTTCTTCAGAAATGAACTAAAGCGCGGAGTCAATCAGGAAGAAACGAAGCGCTGCTGTTTTCTGTGAAGACATTTCACGTTTCCATGATTGTGCGGTATCCTAGCGTAAGACCTATTTTGATTTTCCACGCTCCCATTACCAAGAACGGTCAGAAACGATTAATGCCTCGTTACCACATCTCTTTAAGGGACTGAGTTGCATATTATAAGCAATATAAGGAGAAAACAGAGCGCAAAAATTACGTTCCCGATTTATTTTTCATTTACGGTTCAGGTTTAACGTGTGCAACGGGTTAAACAATAATAACGTGCACGGGTTTCACACGTCTCCTACGATCGATAAGACAAATATCTCTAAATATCTCCTGAGAGGTGTCAAAATGTCAATGTCTTTAAAAGTCTCTTAGAGTCTCTTTTTTTATCAATCAATTCTTGGCATAGCAATAGCGACTCCTTCCAAAAAAAAAAAAAATCTAATCCCGACACAAAACCCCTATTGTTCGTCTTTTTTTACCCCAGGTACTATGGCTGCGCAATATTCTATACCTAAATTTGATATGAGCCTCAATACTTTGATATATCCTTTATAAGTAAGAACGACCGAATCGGTTATGGTTTTAAAAGTGCATGATTCCGAAATGGGTCTTTTTTTAACCATTGCAATCTGCTCTTAGCTTTGCGCAAGTACTTCAGTAGTTCTTTCTTCAGCAATCAATTCGACACTTTGGCGACCATTTTCTTTTTTTATTTCTCTCCTAACAAATTTTTAAACTGTGATAACAAATAATTTTGCAAACTCGTAGAAAACAAGTACAAAATCTCAAAAATGGTTGCAAACCGTTCAAACTTTTCGAATAGATCACCAAATAGTGATCATCTTGTTATGATGATTCTGCTTTGTTGCTATAGCTACAAAACTACAAAATGAACCCAAAATTTATTAATTAAACGTTTTATGACTGCTAGAGGCATGCTCATGCCTCATGTTTTTTTTTCTTTTCTTTTAAACAAATGAAAAACTGGTCGTTGGATTAAAAAATCGATCGGGAAATAAAAAATATGACTGTCTTCTCTAAACTGTTGAAAAGCGGTTTAATAGCGTCCTGAACTACCTCCTACCCCCTTTAAATGACGATTTTCCTACACTATTAGTACAATTTTATTTTATATTGGATGACTTTGATATTCACTTACGAGTCTATTACTAACATTTATTATACGTCGAGTACTTGTGTGGCTTTTACACCGTTGGAGCTAAAAGATCGTACTGGTCCTTGATCACGGCAAGAGAATGATTCCGCTTGTCAAGGCTTCAATATGGCTCATGGCGTCAAAATTGGGACAACACAAATCATAGAAGGCTAGAACGAATAGTCGTTTCAAATATATTTCTAAGAAAATTTTTTTACAGTTATAAAGAAGCAATCTAAACTATTGAAAATATAAAGTTTACTATAATTAGTATTTAGCTTAGCGTAGCTAGCTTCTGATGGTCTCTGCTTATGGTATGTCTGCTATGTATTTGTAAACGTCTGATACAGTATTTGCCGCATAGATATCGTTATCTCTTGGAAATTTATTTTATTATGGTTAACATGTCTAATGATAAAAAAAAAAAGAAAAAAAAAACAAGTAAGAAATTTATACTCGGTCGCGATCGAATCTTTTATACCCATCATCGTTTTTCTAAGAAAGACTAAAAATACTATAACAATATACTATTTGGTGAACGCGGCCTACCCCTTCTGTTCTTTGGAATAAATGTGGAAATTTAGATTGTGTGTGTCTGTTGTAGTTTATTAATAACGAGGAAAAAACATTGAAACTGAAGGTTTTTCCTAGTTTCTGTTATACAGTCGTATGGGTGTTGTTTGTAGCTGTGTCCTTTGACAAATTTGGATCATTTGTCAATGTTTTCGCAAATTCCAACCATTTTCGCTAGCGCTAGAATATTTACCATAGATACTATACAAATGGATAGACGGACAGATGGACAGACAAACAGAGCGATAAACTTGCTTATGTGCTTTCGTTATAAATGCTTGAAATTCTGATGCACTATAAAAATGGATAGGCGTGACCATATTTGTACAGGTACTATACCTGTCTATCGCCCATAGAATATGAGTTCAAATTTTTATATAGGTTTAATTGCTGTACTTTATGAGTAATGAGCAAAAAATATAATTTTTTATATATTTTGATAAACAGAGGTGTTCTGAGTTTACTTGACACTGTAGACGTATCCTTTGATCGATTTGATATCAACCAGCGCGCACGAACTTCCAATGCTTCTGCCAAATATAAAGCCTCTTTGTAGCTTCATGCAGGGAATTTTTACAACAGACATTATGCAAACGGACAAGTTGGACAAGAGGCCATGTTTAAATCTTTTTAGAACTTGATGTTGATCAAAAAGTATGCATCCTCTAAAGCTTCCTTCTGAGCGTTGCAAACGTTTTGACAAAATGTATATAACCCCTCATCCTTTCGTGATGGGTATAAAAAAAGAATTAAAAAGGAATTCCAATAGGAAAACTGTACGTCATACAATCCAAGCTATATATTATGCAGATATTACATATTCAACGTGTATAAGAACATATGTAACTTCTAATGCGTTCACAAATGTCCAAGCAGTTCACTTGTTTGCATTGATTAGATGACGGTATGACGGTAATTTTTGCATTAAATTGTACGCTGCAATAGTCAGCAGACAGTCATTACAACCTGGATAGAAACGGATGTGGGATGTGTTGCCATGAATATGATCATACAGTAAAACATAGCGATAGAATGCACTCAAGCAAGCATACATAAGCACATCAAGTGAATGAAAAATTTCGATTAGAAGAACAAATCGTTTGCTACTTTTAATGACACAAACATGTATATATATCTATATATATATAT